ACAGCCTTGAGAACATTATTGAAGTGCTTACTAACTGTTTGACTACTCCGCATGAAATTAAATTTAATTTTGCGGTTCTTAGTATGATGTGCAAGCACATTCAAAAACATTGTTACTTGCTCCTCTAAGACAACATATTTTGAATAAGACAATCCAACACTTCGCACCAACCCACATAAAAGCATAAAAGTAAGCCTATTCATCCGAAGTTGGTCACGACAATTTATGTCACTATCGTTGACCAATCTATTCAAATGGTCAATTTGTTTTCCATAGGGGTGAGGTGATCTAGGTAGTTGCAACCTAATTTCTTTCCTCTTGAATGCAGTATGTAAAATCACTATATACATAGCACATACATAATTAATGAATGAAACAACATGTTGGAGGGCTACAAATTCCTCTATAAGGTCATTTCTCCCCTTCTTAGTGGCATAATTATTATCCATCTACAAAAAATGAATAAACAATAAGTGACTAAAGTTAGCACAAAAAGTAAAACAAATAATAGATAATAGAAAGCGTTTAATATGATAAAACAGATTGTAACGGCCAAAAAGCCATAGTAGAGTGAGTTTGAAGTACAGTCTAATTGAGCTAAATAAATTTAACATCTATTCATATCAATCATTTTGTGATTAAAATTAAATAACAAAAAGACACTTCACAATGGCAAATAGTGGGTATATTCAAATATACACAGAAAACCATGCACCAGCAGATATCCACATGAAGAAAATACTGAATAATTATTTCAAGTCAAGTAATTTGTAACAATGCTCTACCTATATAATAACATACAACTGAATAATTATTTCAAGTCAAGTTATTTAAGATTCTGTGATATGCCAGATAGGGCAGATTCTAAGATATACAATAACAGACAACTTTCAGATAAGATCCCAAATCATATCTTTCTCTGAGAACTTGGAATCTTGGATCAATTTCAAGTTTTAATGACTTCCTAACAAAAGACAAAACCACAAATCTTCTGGAAATAATTTAACCATTATTATTTCTGTTTGGAAAACATGTAACCAAAAATATCATCTCAAAGGAGATATCCAAAACAGGCAACAGATGATTCCATTGGTCTTTGAAAGTCAATGCTCTACCTATATTCGTTGAATAAACATCCTAAACATTCAATCAAAAGAATATAGCATAAAGTTGCTAGATAAAATGAGTCTCCTAGTCCATAAGAAGGAAATCGACTAATCAAGTCCTCTTCGGTGCAAGTGAAACCTGACTAACAGTTGCATTGCCATGTGATTGACAACCTTAATAGAAACACAAACCAATTTAGATGATATAGTTAAATGCATATAAAAAATAGTCGAAGTCTCCAATCTGTTAAAAAGTACATTCTCTGTGCTTGAGAGCCAGTCTCAATCCGAAAGAAATGTGTAGGGTTGTGGTAGGCTAGCATCCAATATAAAACTTATAATCACACCTTGGAAACATGGATCGTAAGGAGTTGATTTGAATCTTTTCGTGCAATTGAGGGGAACCCAAAAAAGATCATAATCAAGGGCATCTTAGAACATTTAATTGGTGCCCTGGGGAGGTCCAACTGCCCAAAATCAACGAAATCTAAGAATAAATATGGACATTTCTAGTGCTACTTTTACAAGCATCATTGAGATGGCTAGAGGTTCTATTGATGCTTGTATCACCAAATGTGAGTTTGGTCACAACAAAATCATTGACTAAAAAAAGGAAATAATGAAATCAGCTCCAAAAATAGCTATGACAACAAACAATCAGAGTTGACTACCCAACTTAAGTAGAAATTAAAGGTTGCTTCCATCTAAAATTTTCCACTTACAAAAAAAGTAAATCAATAAAAAATTGTACATTTTCAAATGCCATCTTTAAGCCACAATGCCCAATGGTTCTCAACAAAACTGATTTCTTCTATCTTGCAATCTATTTAATTTGACATCTAACTATTACCTCTTCTCTCCAAATCCAAATTTGTGATAAAAGAAACATCACCATATCCTCCAAAAAAAAGTCCCCATAATATCCTCCTCAATCCAGATTGGAGCCCCTGCTTTCATGTTCACTAACAAGAAAATAAACCAACTTATATTGGAAACCCTTTTTCTAACAGTGAAGAAAAAAAAAACATGGAGAAGCAACTTATAAACCAACTTATATCTATGTCTCCATTCCATTTATCCATTAGGCATGTAACTGTGGAGGAAAAAAAAAAAAAAAACCCTAAACTTCTTATCACAAAACAGTTCCCTTTACATCTCCTGAAACAGGCCCCGTTTTTGCATGTATTTTTGGGATAGAAGGGAAAAAAATTAATCAACAGATAAACCATGGCAGATAAAGCAGGAAAAAATAAAGCACCAACATTTAGAATAGAAGGAAAAAAAAAAATAATGAAAACCCATTCACAGATGATGAATCAACAGATAAACCAAAAAATAATCAAATAATGAAAACCCATTCACAGATGATGAAGCAACATTTAAAAATTAATCAAATCACAGATGATAAACCCAAAAATAATGAAAAAAAATAAACCCATTTATAAATTATAAACCACAAAAAAAATAGGGTATAATTTGGGGTAGAGAATCTCATACATCAAAACCCATTCACAAACCCAAAAAAATGAATCAGGTAGCAGATGATAAATCCAAAAATAATGAAAAAAAAGAAACCCATTTACAAATCATAAACCACAAAAAAAATAGGGTATAATTTGGGGTAGAGAATGTGATAGCGGGATTAACAAAAAAAAAATTACCAACGGAGCAGATGCTCAGCTGAATTTGAAGATGAGAGAGAGTTTGCTGTACTTGAGATCGAAAATTTGAAGAAGAAGAAGAGCTTCTCTTGTCTCTCCCTTCTGCTGCTGCTTCCAAAGATGAGCTAGGGCTAGGGCAACGATGGGTAAACAAGTAAATCACTCTCCTAATACCAACAGACTAATTTTCAAAACCAAGTTTTGGGGCAGATTGTGAATCCTATCAGCAAGGCATATCTTAAGCCCTTCGGCTTATGAGTTCCTTCCTGAACTCTGTAAACAAACAACACATTAAATGGGACCCACAGCTATCCTAATCCCATTCCTCCCCCTAAACCCCAAAACAAACGGGGCCTAAGCTCTCAAACAAGCAGTCTAGAAAATGGTGGAATAAAAAGAGGGTCTGCAAGTAGTTGGGTTAGCAAACTCTCCATTGCAGCAATATTGGTCTAGCCCAAATGCCTCACATGCACTCCTGTATCCAACCACTCCCACTCCACCATTGTCCCTATCAACCACCTGAAGCTCTTTTGGGCAACTTGCAAAGTTTTCATTTACGACAGTACTACTTGAGCATCATCAAGAAGACAACCATGAATCATAGTGACTGCAAATGTAACCCTTTATTGCATTGTAGTATGTGTGTGATTTACAATTTATATTTTTTATTCTTTTCTATTTTTGTGTCCCACCGATCCTAATTAAGTGCTTCACAATTTGTAACACATTTGAGGATGGTGGTCAAGTGGTTTGGAGGACAGGAGGTCGAAAGTCTATACATAGTTGTTTGAAGCGTAAGATTCATGCCCATTAAGCCTGAGGCGTTGCTCCTTGCCACTATAATCTTGGTAGCATAAATTATTCAATCTTCTCATGACACTACATAGTTGTGCCTAAACAATGTTTTGTGATTCCCCCCCTCCCCACTTTTTTTTGTGTGTGGTCATGCAAAGTTATATCCTTACTATTGGATTTTTTATTTTTTTATTTTTTGTGTGTGGTCAAGCAAAGTTATACCCTTACTATTGGACAAGCACACCGTCAACATAGTGTGCCAAGGAGATTGAATAATTAATCTAACCATGGGATTGGGATTAGACTTTGACTTAGCCTCTATATAGGGAGCACTTGCATATATCCCCAACAATCCTACGTTTTCAGGTTCATCTAGGCCAATCTAACCATGGGATTGGGATCAGACTTTGACTTGGCCTCTATATAGGGAGCACTTGCATATATCCCCAACAATCCTACGTTTTCAGGCCCATCTAGGCCAATCTAACCATGGGATTGGGATCAGACTTTGACTTAGCCTCTATAAAGCAATGAGAGGAAGATTATAACGATCCACAATGCTGACATCATAGAAGTCTCTCTCATCGGCACTGATGCCTATCGTGATCTCAAAGAGAAACGCAGGTGATGCGGCTCCAACGCCATCACACTCCAACCTCCCACCTCAATCCCTTCTTTGGCACATATCCACCCCTGACTCATCAAATTTGCACCCTATCCTTGCCCATATTCGACCTGACCACCCTGGAAATGCCGGAATTTTGATACTTTGGCCAGAGTCCAATTTGAACCCTGTTGTCAAAAGTTGCGGTGTCCCTGAACCGGCAAGTGTTCCAGGCCAGATTATTTGTGGGCAATTGTTAGTGACAGTGAATGTAGAGGCAAATGAGTTAGTTGGGAATGATTTGACAAGAAAGAACATCAAGAACATCCATTGTGATGTTATAGTGAACATTTTGGGATAGAGAAAAGTGGGTTATGGTTCCAAATTCCAATGCCCTATTCTTTTCCAGGAATGGGTTAGTAGCAGGGTTCTAAATAAATTGGGATTTTGAAATTGCAATATCAATATTTTGACCAATACTGTTTGATATGAACTGATCGAATACTATTATTTAAAACCAAGGTTGATAATCAGTTATAGGAAAGAGACACTGCTATATATTGTATTTACAGGTAAGAATCTGCATGGGAAACAAAAAGGGTTAGAGTTGCTTTGTGACACAACTTTTTACCTACAATCAATAAATAAATTTCAATAGTAGTAGTAACAACATCTTCCACCATTATACAAATAGATGACTACTTTCAATTACCATTTTACATTAGAATTGCTCCTTTTAAATGGTTGGCACGTAACTACAAAAACATAAAGAATAAGCTTTAAGCCCAAAACAAATATAGATGTCCTTCATCACGTAGTACAAAAAAAAAAAAAAAAATGCAATGCAATAATCCCAATGACTAATATCCAAATATTAAGGAGCCAAATAGTGATGATGTTATGACAATCAAGGATACGATAATTGTTAATTATTTTTTAGGTTGATTTTTTTTGGATGAATATTTTTTAGGTAGATTAATGCCCATATCTTATGAAATATTGCAATAATGCGATTAAACAAATTTGGCAGTGCACTTCAGTATCTATTATTTGCAAGAAAATTCATATATTAGATACCAGACCATTACAATTTCTATTATTCTTCTTTATAAAAAGATCTATTTTTATTTTTTATATTTTTGGTATTCTCATGTATTCTTTTTGAAAATCAAAACATTTTTCCTAGTATCAATCATTGAATATCAATAGTAATAACCAACCACATCTTCCACCAATATGCAAATAGATGATTACAATTGTTTTTATTTCCACTATTTTACATAAAACTTTTGAAGAATAAGCTGTAAGCCAAAAACATCCTAAACAATAGGGTGGAAAGAAAAGGTTCAAATAAGCTTACCTAGACTGCACATCCTCCTTCCCTCTTATTCTTTTCATGACACATGATATACTGGCATTAACACCTGTCATGACAGCAAAATTGTATGCTTGTCCGAAGGGACCCCTTGCTAGGGCCTATAAACAAAATAAACCATTTGTTAATTACACATCAAGTAAGTTTTTACATTAAACAGTAGTTGCATCATCAAAAAGCTGAGTTTGGGTTGCCCGAAACAAGATGTTAGAATAAGAACTAGAGGCCCTAATTCCACTTCCAAAGGTTTGCACTACATGTCAACTTATTCAAGGCATGTATGCTTAGATTAGAATACCTGAAAATTCTCAATTCGACTAATTGAAGAATCCATTCCACATTCAAAATGAGATACAATTCCAAATAAAACCAAACAAAGCCCTAAATGATTCTTCAGCAAATGAACAGATAAATAGAAATATCCTTATCATGACCCATAAAACAAGCAACCAAAAACCAAGTTGGCTCTATTTTAACAGATACAAGCACAGGACCCCAAATTATATAATCAGCAAATCAATCTAGCACTTAGCATCTCCAATCCCTGAGTCAAACCTATATCAAATTTAAATTTGGGTAAAAATCACTCAAAGCACCTTCCACTCATTGTCCCAAACTTATACCAAATTGAGTTTTACTCAAAATTTTACCCAAATCAAATGTTTAATCAAAATTTTCAAGGCTATTTAGTGGCTCTCAAATTTACCACTCTCCAATTACCGAATCTTTTACATGGGCAGGAAGTCAAACTTGGGAACTTGTCGTCGTCGGCTCGTTAATCCTCCTAGTGAGGATGGGTATCAACTTTGATTATCTTGTTACTTTTTTTTCTCTATTATTATCTATTAATTTTTTTTTCTTTTACTTACTTAAATCTGAATATGTCCACTGGAGTGGTTTATACCAAATAAAGCTTTTACTCAAATTTTTATTCAAATGAGTAAAATTTTGAGTAAGCTTTTACTCAAGTTTTCAAGCATTATAGGGTGTGTTTATCCCCCCCAAAAAACCCCTAACTCGGCACAAAACCTAATTTGTGATTCGGATTACTTATTCAATGGAGGGAGATGTCCATCGTTTGGTGCAATTTTAATCCGCCGGACTCCATATCCCTCTTATGAGGGACTAAACAATCCTAGGGAGGGGGTGTGATTATTTCCGTAGGATTGGTATCATATGGGACTAATGTGTGAAATGTCTATTTTACCCTCATGCTATTACATAGTAAACAATTGGAAAATGGTAAAATAGTTTTTTGAACATTTATAAATATTTTTTTAGTGTTGTTAATTTAAAATTATATATTAAATAAAAAATATAAATTATAAATTAAATTTAATTAAAAATTATGGCCTATAAATTAAATTTAAAAAAAAAATTAAATTTATATATTAAATAAAATTATTTTTTTTGTGTTGTTCATTTAAAATTATATATTAAATAAAAAATATAAATTATAAATTACAAATTTAATTTAATTAAGAATAATAAATTAAAAATTATGACCTTATAAATTAATTTTTTTTTTTTTGCGTTGTTAAATTATAAATTATAAATTATAAGGGTAAAATAGGCTTTTAAATATTTATTATTATCCAGTCCGTAATCTCATGAGAAAACAAACACCGATATATATCAATTCAACCAAATAGTTGGGATTAACAGTGAATCAAACCCTCCCTCAAAAGAAAAAAAAAAAACCCTAATTTGGCGCAAAACCTAATTTGTAAAGCCAGCAATAGAATAACACACATATAGGTATGCATGAAAAATAAGTAATATATGAATAATTAGGAGGGTAAGGGTGAGGATGGAAAAAAAACCTGGGCTTGCTGGAGAGAGGCCATGGCTTGGGGATTCATAGAGGCAGCATTAGGAGGAGGAGTGGGGAAAGAAGAAGAGACGTCGTTGGTGAGGTTGCCCATGAAAGCACCTATGGCTGCGCCCTAGGCGGCGCTGGTGGCGGTGATGACGGCGGCCTCCATTGGCAACGACTGCTTGGCCAACCATGCTTTGAACCCTTCATTCCATTCCTTGAACTTGGCTTGTAATTGAGCTACTGGGTTCTGCGTCTGAGTCGCCACTAGTCCTTTTGACATCTCCCCCACCATCACTCTTTGCTCTCTGTATGTTTTTTTGTTGTCGACTTATTGCTGCTCTCCTCTCTCTCTCTCTCTCTCTCTCTCACTTCGCACAATTGGAATCTGGAAGCTCTAACAAGGAGCTATTTTGGGGAGTATGGATAACACAATACGGTAAATTACACTTTAGTCCTTTTTATTTTAGTCCTTTGTTAATTAGTTAGTAGAAATTGTCATGTGACCCTAATATAAGGTATTTTTAGTGAAAAATACAATTTTCTTTTTATTTCTTATCTTGTTATATCTATCAATTTTAACTTTTTTCTTATATTGTAATTACATCTTTTTTTTATTCAATCTGTTTCGCCATTTGTCCACCGAATCCGGATCCTCGGCCGCCCAACCCGGCAGCCCCCCCAAAACGACGTCGTTTTGGGAGTTTTTTGTTTTTTTTTTTTCTTTTCTTCTTCTTCTTCTTCGTTCTTGCTTTCTCTCTCTTCGAAACCAGAGGGGAGGAGAGAGGGAGAAAAGGGAGGAAGGAGGAGGGAGGAGGCTGCGAGCTCGCCATCGCAGCTCGTCGCCTCGCCGCCGGCCGTCGCAGCCGTCCGATCGTCGCCCGATCCAGCTCGTCGCAGCAGCTGCACCGCCGTCGCCGCAGCTGCACCGCCGTCGCCTCCGCCTCCTCCTCTTCCTCCCTCCTCCTTCCTCCCTCTTCCTCTCCTTCCTCCATCTCTTCCTCTGCGTTTTTTTTTCTTTGGAAATTTGCCCCCAAAACGACGTCGTTTTGGGGGCTGCTGGAAACGGCTGCCGGGTAGGGCGGCCGAGAATCCGAACTCTTGTCCACCACCTATGGATGGCATTAGTTAATAGTAAAAAGTAAAGTTGTTAGGCAAAAAGAATGTAATGATAAATAATAAAAAGCATGTGGTGAAGGGATGTGGGTGGCGACAATAATGAAGGGCAATAGTCATAAGTAATGTAGAAAAAAATGATTATGAAAAAATGATTGAGTTATAATTGAGAAATAGAAAAGAAAAATAAATAAATTATGTTTTTATTATGAAAAGGATATCATATGAGAGTTATATGACAATTTTCATTAAATAATTTAATATTAAATTAATGAAAGGGTTATATTGTGATTGAACAAAAGTATAAGAGATTGGCTATTAGAATTAAAAAAGTAAAGACCAAAATAAATTTTAATAGTCTTTGAGGTTTGAAAAATAATACAATTACCCTTATATGTTTTACATAATTATGTTGACATTTTTTAATAATGTTAAAGCGACTGAAACTAATACATGATAAATATATTAAAATAAATAAAGACAAATATATATTTTAATTGAAAATATATTAATATATTATTTTTTATTTATACGACTAACAAATTATTGATAAAAAATAACATAATTATTATATAAATTAAAACTATAAAAAAACCAATATAATTCTATTAAAATTATAAAATTACCTATATTTTTTAAAACATTTAAGAAAAATGACTGTAGTTTAGCCTAAAATATTAAAGTAGAAAGCATAATTTATTTTTATCTTTTTAATAATCATTTTCTCCCGTATCGTCGTCGTCTATTAAGGCTAAGACAAAAGACAAAGTAGCAAACTCATTGAGCATCTTTCTATTAATTTTGTGTTAAAAATAAAATAATTAGAAAATTTAAGAAAATAAATTATGAAAAGGTCATAATGTTACATTTCCCTGCTCGACGATGTTGGGTTTTCTTAACTCCATTTATATTTATTAAATATATTTATATAATATATATCATTTAGTTTTTTTAATATGATAAGATTAAAACACAAAAATATTACACTTACTATTCGTTTTCATTAATTTCTTTTTCATCTTACATCTTTTGATTTTCATTAATTATAAATCACCATTTGATAATATATTATATTATTTGTCTTTTCCCTGATAAGATGCAAGGTAAATATGGAGAAGGACAAACTTGTCCCTTGGCCATCTTTAGTCTCAATTCAAATCAATTATCCATTTATACTCTATATTCAACTAAGGGGTGTATTTGAAAAAAAAAAATAATTTTAATTAAAAAATTAAAAAGTCAAAAAAATTAAAATAAAGGTTTAATTAGGACATATGATATGTTGTGCATTATAAAATCTTCCTAGAATTTAACAAGTTGTTATAGAAGAAGCTGATGAAACTGCAGAGAGGGTGAAAATAAAATAATTGTGTTGTTGAAAATTAATTTGTAACTGGTATATTGATTTACTTTATGTACCAAATTTCATATACATGTGTTTATATAATTCACAATCTTTATGGCAGAAGTGGCTGTTTACCAAACCAATAAACAAAAATAAAATGAAATAAAGTCAAAATCAACAACAAAAAGATCAAATTTTTATTAAATATTTGGGCATGCAAGATAAACAAGATTGACAATTCTTGACACCATTTTCTTTGTTAAAGCCTAATCACATCTGGGAAGAAAAAAAAATTAACAACTCTGACTTATATCACATATGGTGTGCTCTTTCAATTAGAGAATAGCACGTTGACCTAAAAACTAAATACTAACTATGGAAACTAATATAACTTGACTGAAAACTAAAAAAACATCTAAATTTGAAGTCTAACACTACCAACTGATTACTCGTCTCTTTTTCTGGCTATAAAGTCTCACCAACTCTTCCACCACCCCATCTATATCCTCCTTCCCTTTGATAGTTACGGTTTCACTCAACTCCCTTGCTTTGCTCCTCACCGCCTCCCCACCATCTTCAACCACCACTTTCTGAATCACCTCGGCCACATTTTTTCGATCAAGCACCCTATTCTTGTCCCTCACAGCCTCCATGCCAACCCCTATCTCCTCCACCAACCTAGCATTTACAGGCTGATCAAGATGCATTGGCATGGCTATGATTGGACTTCCAAACTTCATTCCCTCCATCACTGAGCTCCATCCACAGTGACTCACAAAACCACCAATGCTTGGGTGCAGCAAAATCTTCAGTTGAGGAGCCCAACCTTCCACCACCATGCCTCTCTCTCCTACCCTCTCAACGAACCCTCTAGGCATTGCCTTCTCAACACTTATATTTGCTCCCATTGAAAACCTCACAACCCATACAAAATTAACACCAGAAAGCTCCAACTGTAGTAGCTAGGGAAGAAGAAGCAAAGGCTTAAGGAAGAAAGCACAAAAGCTGTATTATTTTTCAGAATTTTACATACCCCCCATATGGGAGTTCCTCAATTATTTATAACTACTTCTTTGCCTCACCCTTCTAACTGCCTAACTAATTCACAACTGAGGTAACTGACTAACTAATTCACAACTGATGTAACTGACTGACTAACTAATCTCTCAACCACTACCTAACTAACTTCCTTCAATTGACCCATAATCCAGAATAATCCAGAACCTTCTTGACATAACATTCCCTGCTGCTTGAAAAATAGCCTTGACCTCAAGGCTGAAATTGAGGATATTTTGCTTCTATCTCAGAATGATCAACCCACGTAGCATCCTCTGGAAAAGAATTCGTCCATTTGACTAACCACTGAACCACAGCCTTATTACCCCGCTTAACCATCCTCCTATCCAAGACAGCCATAGGTTCCAGTTGCAAAGTTCCCTCAAGGGGAAGAGTAGTGTGAGCTAACACATTAGTCCCGATTTTCTTCTTAAGCAGTGAGACATGAAAAACAGGGTGAATTTTAGTAGTTGTTGGTAACTCCAGCTTATAAGCTACTGCACCTACCCTTTCCAAGACCTGATATGGTCCATAAAACCTTGGAGATAGCGTCATATTTCTCTGCAAAGCCACTGTAGTCTGCTTATAAGGTTGTAACCGAAGGAACACCCAGTCCCCAATGTCAAATTCCCTTTCAGACCTGCCCTTATCAGCATAATGTTTCATCCTCTGCTGTGCCTGAGTTAAATGCTCCCTCAAGGTCTTGATAATAGCAGCCCTCTCTTTTACCCAATTATCCACAACTGCTACTGAAGAAGGTGTGGAAAGGCAAAAAGTATGGTCAGGAGGTTCTTGTCCATAGACTGCAAAGTAAGGAGTAGTTTTGGTGGCAGCATGATAGGTGGTATTATACCACCACTCAGCTAAAGAGAGCCACTTAGCCCACTGCCTAGGACAATCTCCAGACATACACCTGAGATAGTTCTCCAAAACATTTGTTCAAAATCTCAGTTTGACCATCCGTTTGAGGGTGATAAGCAGTGCTAAGGCACAGCTTACAGCCCTGTAAAGTGAAAAGTTCATGCCAGAAATGGCTAGTAAACACAACATCTCTATCTGAAACAATGGTAGAAGGAAGACCATGCAACTTAAACACTTGATCAAAGAAACACAAATGTTTAGTGAAACCCATATTTTTGTGTATTAAATAAAAAATTCATTTATATATATCTTTACGCCATGAGAAAATTAAAAGAGCATGCACAAAATCATTAAGTTAAAAAAAAAAAAATCATGGCGGCAATTATGGCTTGAAAATATATAGGTTTCGTTTGGAGCCACTTTTCAAAATCCTTCCTAAGTATAAAAATTCTTTTGAAAAACTTTTTTATTTTATACTTTTATGTTTGATAAAATTATTGAAAGGCATTCCTTCAAAAGTCATGAGCCGTGAAAATCTTTTTTAAAGGTGTTACGCAGAGTGGATTTTGAAATTCTATTCAAATTCACTTCCTACAAATCGAGCCAGGTCATTAAGAGAAAATTCAAAATTACTTTTCATTTAAAAAAGAAAAAGAAAAAAAGTACACTCTTTGTTTGTCTAGCCTTTTTTTTTTTTTCCATATGTTTTAACGTTACTTTTTATTTTACCAATTCATCTAAACCAACTATTTAAAGAGTCTCTCTTAATATTAAAACAAATATTGTATTAACTAATCTGTTATAACAAATTAAATGAAATGAGACTAGTTATAACAATGAACTGCTATCTTTTTAAAACTTTGTTAAGGATGCTTTTAATAGATTTCACAGTTTCCCATGCTTTTAAAGATGCTTTTAACAAGGGTGGAATGTGCAGTGGGATGTATAATTGTGATAGAGATCCCCCACAAAAAAGATTTCCACAATTCTCATTTTTATTCCAACCACTCATAATGTGAGGCTC